GTCAGTCTATTCATATCTAGATAGCTTTGTATTTTAAATAAAAAATATCGAGTGTACACAAATTTAAAGCTTGCTTTTAACTTTAAAAACTAAAACAAGAATGATAGTACCGGTTGCGATCGGTAAATTGTCGCCATTTTCTATTTTTGATCACGCGCATGCGCATTGTTTGTTTTTGATTTTGTCGATTGCATAGTAGAATAGGGTCAGTTGGACACCTGTGGTAAAAAGAGCCCCATGACACAGTTCTCTTCGCCAGAAATTTGGAAACGACTTGCTGCCCTGCTTGGCATTCGTACCGGAAGCCCCAATACGAACATTTCAGAATGTTTGGGTGTAAATCTAAGGACAGTGTAGAGGATTTAGAAAGAGTTGGATAAGTCTAATGGTGATTACCAAGGTGTTTGCAGTGATCACTAATGATGGCGAAGTTATGCTTCCCATCATCTTCCCACTCAACACGGAGGCCTACATCAAGTGACTTGAGGAGATAGTGCAGCCTTAGTGCAGAGGTTGGCTGTTCCAAGATCCTATGTTTGGCAACACGACTCTGCATCATGCCATACAAGCAGGAGACCCCAGTCATGGTTGCCAGGCAATTTATGCAACCATATCGCCGCTTACACCTGGCCACGAAATTGTCCAGATTATTATTTGTCGGGCGCAATTGAGCCAGAGACCAACAAAAGGACTTCTGGTCAAAGTCGAACTTCCATCAACTACTGGGAACCGTTTGATCGGATATCTTACGTGGCCGAGCGGTGAGGCACATCAGAACGAATGACGGTTCCCCAGAGGCTATACAGTTTCCAATCCTACCGGTAGACACATATTTTTCAGACAAGCTTTCTCGAATATTCTGACCGGTAGATAAATTCATATATATATATATATATATATATATATATATATATATGAAGAAAAATATATACGGAAAAAACAAACAAAAATCCTTATATACAATTATGCTGTTTTAATGTTAATATGTCAACGTCGGACGTTTCGGTCTAATAAACCATCTTCAGGACATATTCATAAATTATAACATTATCAATACAACATGACAAAGACGATGTACATAAGAACAAGACTTATCCAAACAGACAACTGAAAGTTTTATAAGATCAGCGCCCCGTTTAAAACATGGTCACGTTGTCGTCACGTGGGCGACGCTGTGAAAACGGAGCGCTGATCTTATAAAACTTTCAGTTATCCGTTTGGATAAGTCTCGTTCTTATGTACATCTTCTTTGTCATGTATTGTTTTTTCCGTATATATTTTTCTTCATACAGTCGGATCTTTTTCCATATATTTGTTATATATATATATATATATATATATATATATATATATATATATATATAGATATATATTTTCATTCAAGCATGTTAGATTAAATAACTTAGACGTATTATGTGTACTTATTTTAGTTTTAATCCTTTCAAGTCTACGAATTAATTTCTTGGTGGCTGTAGAATATTGATTAAGAAAAATTCCAAAATTTTCTATCAAATAATTTTTATTTTCCCAAGTATTTTCAATCTCATTTGAGACCATCGTCAGGAGGTTTAATATCTGTGGATGTGTATACAGTAACTCCGTAAATTCAAAATATTTTTCACTGTTCACAGTTTTACAGCGTTAAAAATTCGAATATGCAACGACGGTAACTTTTTTTTAAATTTTTTATTTTAATATTCAAAAAATGAAAAAGATTTTACTTTTTTAGTTATAATATTTTAATTTTATATTTTATATAAAACTTTGCTGCTACAAACATTTAAGAACTTTCTTGTTATACTTATGATTGATGTTATTTATTTTGGGTCGTAATTCTCTTATATAAAGGGCTTCTAAAGTTTTACGTTTTGCTTATTCTAATGAAGTACTAATGTATTTTCGACTAATATCTCTCTAAACTCTGCATGTAGCCATGTGTATTCCTTTAAATGTTCTGACATTAAACTATGCTCATGCAAGTGAAACTTAAGTCGTCTCGTCAACGTCATCGTTCTAAAACCAACATATGTATTAAGACTTTTATCAGAGATGTAATCTCCCAAAGGACATTTGAATTGATACACAATTTTGTTTTTTGTAAAATGCTAGTTGATGGAGAAGAATTGTTTTGGACGACTAGTTTGGGCGTATTATTTTTTTTTATTTGGACCAGTAGGTGATATATTAGTGTTTATGAGTCTTTTTAGAATTTTTTTCTCCTGCTTATTGTTAGAATGCATTTGATTACTGTATAGTAGTTTGATATGTTTAGAGTTATGTATTATGTTCATTTTTTTTATTCTCAATACCTCGTCTAATTTGTTCATCAACTATGTAATTAGGAAATTCATTATTAATGAGAGTTTGTTTAGTATTCTTTAATTCAGTATAGAAAATTTTCTTGTTGAAGATTGTGCTTTTACACGGTTTATCAATTTCGTATAATAGCTATTTTGTAATAGTTAGGACATTCACTTTTATAGTTGAGAGTGCACGTGTTAATGCTAGTTGTTTGTTTTTTACATGGGAAGGTAGTAAATGTATTATTATTAATGTCTATTAATACATCAAGAAACGTGATTTTATTCTTATTGTTAGTTCGTATGTAAACTTAAGTTTCATCTGTGTTTTTGACTAAAATGGGAATGTCATCTACATAGATGAGATAAATGGACGGTTTTTTGTGGTGTGAATTCTGTTATTTTCTAGGTTAGTCATGTAGAAGTTCTAAATGTTTGTTCTAGAACAAATGCCATACAAACACCATCCCATTGTGCATATATTTTATTTTTATAATCATACAAATGATCTTCTCTGATGCAAATCCATAGTATCTTCCTTAAAATATTAGGACGAATTTTTAAAAGCGGGAGAGATGGATTGTTGTAGATATTCTTATGATTATATCTATCGTTTCCCTGACGTTGATGAATAAACATTCAACGTCAAGTGAAGCCATGGTTTGTTATTTTTTTTTTTTTTTTTAGAATTTGGAGTAGTTCGTATGTTGATTTTATGCTACATTTATTGGGAATGTATGGTGTAATTAGTTGATTAATAAATTTGGTTAGTTTGTAAACAGGAGTGGGGATTTTGGTTATGATAGGACGGACAAGGAAGTCAGGTTTATGCATTTCAATAGTTCCATACATGTATCCTGGTTTGTAGTCGCCAATTATTTCAAGAAGTTTTAAGCTATTTATGTTAGACATTTTCATGACGGTCGTCTTCGAGTATAGAATCCAGAGGTTGGCAGTGAATATTTCGGAGACAGTAGGAAAGCGTAGTGCAGGTTCGCAGTGGATATCACAGCAAGGTAGCAGAGCGTAGTTCTTCCGTCTGTCCTGTTCGCCGGACAAGTTGCCTCTTGTCATTCCGGTAGGAAAACAAAGATGGCCGCCTTTATACACGACGGATACAGTATTGTGCGGCTTCTGATTGGTCAACCTTCTATTGGTCGACTATAAAGGGAATTAAGTCATTTTGACTCGCTCACTAGTTACATATATATACACAAAAAACCATAACAAATTAGTCCTGCGTTATTGGCTGCGATCAATTTTGGGGGATTCGATTTTAATTCGTTAATCGTATTTTTAACCAAACTTTTTTTTTTTTTAATTTTGTTTGATCGTCCAGTATTTGTTACACATTTGAATAATAATCCGATTCATTTAATACGACGAATATATTCCTTTTATCCGCTTTTTAACTATTATATTGGCGTTGTTACGTAGTTATTTAACTGTAGTCCTTTGTTGTTTTGAAATAAGTCTTGACGTGTTCCCCCCTCTCTCATGTTTATATTTCACTGCTTCAGCTTTGAGTAGGTCACGGATTTCTAGTTTTGAATGTATCAGTTGATGTTATTCAAGGTTTTGTATGTTTTCATACGACATTTCTACTTCAGTTTTTTTTTTATAGAGGTGACAATTGGGTGCAAACTTCAGCAATCATTTTAATGGTTCGTAAGTTAACTATTACAAAATAGCTATTATACGAAACTTAATCCACCCGTGCAAAATCAAACTCTTCAACAAGAAAGATGTTTATACGAAATTAAAAAAAAATAAACCCTCGATAATAATGATTTTCCTAATTAAATAGTTGATGAACAAAGCAGACGAAGTATTGAGAATAAAAACAAAATATGAACATAATACATCATCAAATAACTCAAAATATATCAAATTTTGACGTTTACAGAAAGGCTACAAACAAAAATGATCTGATCAGTTTCTACTCAAACCACTCTTCTAAAATTAAATCTGGAATTATTATAGGTTTTTATCTAAGAGCATTATGAATCTGCAGACACCAATATTTACTTAAGGAAGAAACATACAGAGAAAACACATTCAAAAACCTACAATATCCATATCATTTCTTCCACAACGCAAGAGGAAAGGCATACAAAATATACAACCGAAACAAAACTAATAACATAATCCGCAATAGTAAATCATATGAAAAGAGATACATAATACTACCGACCAACTCTGTCACGTCCACTATCCAGAATAACCTATCTCATCTAAATAATCTTAGTATAGTTATAAACACTTCCCAAACCATTATGGATATACTCAGATCCTCAAACACTAATAGCAATAATATTTCTGAAGCAGGCATTTATAAAATAAATTGCCAAAACTGTTCCTCCCAATATATTGGAGAAACAAGTAGAAATTTTTAAAAAACGCATTTATGAGCACAAAAGAGACCTCACAAAAAACAACTTAGCTAATGCACTAGTAATACATAGAAATAAATTCAACCACAATTTTGATTTTAAAAATGCTACACTCATGAAAAAAGAAAATAACTCACTCAGAAGGAAAATTCTAGAGAGTGCCGCCATTGAATATTACCCAAATATTAATCTACGCCCAGGCTTTTTCCCTATTTCACCTTTCTTAACATAATTTCTCCCAAATATATGTACACAACAATATCGTGAAATCAAAAGAAAATGGTTGAATCCGTCAACACGGCAATAA